CACATATGCTCATTTTCCAATTCTACTTTATAATTTATGCTTGTTATTATACTTATTGTTATCAATTTTATAAACTTACACTTATCTATTAAAAGCATCTTTTTGTAGGTATCAAATTATGGATAGATAATAAAGAAGAAAACGATACAATCTCAAAGAGGAGAAATTGTTGTTGTTATTGTTAGGTGCCATCGAGTCGGTACCAACTCACAGCGACCCTATGCATAGCAGAATGAAACACTGCCCAATCCTGGGCCATCGATGCTGCCACTTGGCCAGTCCATCTCGTTGGGGGTCTTGCTGTCTTTCTCTGTCCCTCTACCTTACCAAACATGACATCCTTCGCAGCAACTGGTCCCTCCTGACAATATGTCCAAAGTATGAGAGCAGAGCCAAAAAACACAAAACCTACTGCCATCAAGTCGATTCTGACTCACAGAGATCCTATATAGGGCTTCTAAGACTGTAAATCTTTATGAGAGCAATCTTGTCTTTCTCCCATGGAATGGCTGATAGGTTTGAACTGCTGACCTGTGGTTGTAAGTCCAACACAATTTGTCCAACAGTGCCACCCAGGTTCCTTGCATCAAGAAAAAGTTGCTTTTATTTCTCCTTAAAACAAAATGATATCCAAGGCATGCAGCAAGTTGGGAGCTTAACAAACAAGAAGAGAGCTGTGCCAATGAAGACACACAGAAGAAGCCATTCCTGAAATGAACTCTTTGCCATACTCAATCTTGCCCTTGCCACATTCCGGTTCCCTGTTTGCAAACACCTATCTCAGTCTGACTTTAGAAATACTATCTGAATCCATCCAGTCAACTCCTCAATTTTGCCTTCCATTTTATGGACAACAAAGTGACCAAGTCAAAGAGGTTTATATAACTATTAATGCTACAAATAAGTTCTATGGACCTTAATTCACTGTTATATCAAGCAAAGCTAAAAGTTCATTTTCTAGGTCACATCTATTCAGTTTCTCTCTTCTGTGGTTGCTGCAATATTTCTAAAGGAAAGAAGAGATTACACATTTCCATAAAGGGGAGCAATGGCCTCAGGAAACTCTGATACACAAGAGTCTTATTATCTCCTTGCCTGGCAGATCTCACTTGCCAAGTCTCAGAGGTTCAGCCTTCTCTGCAGCTCCCAGTGGACTGTTCTATGTTAGGATTTTGTGGCATGGACTACTTGCATCTATCTCATCTCTGTACACAGTATTCTTTCTTGAAATAGCACACTCATGGGACATAAGAGAAGCACAAAAATCTAAGGATGCAAAACAGAAGTTTCTAAAAGCTAATGCAGTATGTGAGTATAACAGGCTCATTTCAGCTCTGCAATTTTTCATTCCCTATATTTACCCTTTAGCTCTATTATCTCTGTGTTCTAAGGCTTCCTTCTCAATCCCAAAACCCCCAAATCCTGTCTTCTCTGCTACACAGCTCTTACTAATTTTTTAGGGTCATTCTGAAATTCTGTGAATTCTCATACTAAAAGTCTGCAAATCAGATCATTCTAACGTACAGTTTACCCCTAAGGAACAAACTACCTCTCAAGAGTTTCAATCTCTTCTCAAGGAAAGTAAGATGTATTTTAGCAATTTTGCCTCTATAATGGTACTGGGTATTTTTGTTGTTGTTGTTGTTTAAGTTATCTGGGAATCTAAAGCTTGTCCATATAATTTAAGAACCCAAACTACAGCTATTGAGCAAGACAGATGGTTCCTAAAGTTTAAGATTTAAAGATTATTCTTCCCATGAACTAAAACCAAACCCGTTGCCATCTAGTCAATTCCACAGTGGTTACTACAGGATAGAGAACAAGGCCACAGGCTTTCCAAATTTGTCATTTTATGGAAGCAGACTGCCACATCTTTATTGCCCAGAGCAGCTGGAGGGTTCAAATTGCCAGCCTTTCAGTTCAAAGCCAAGCTCTTAGCCAATGTGCCACCAGGGTCCTTTCTTCTTCCAAAGGAGTTTATAAAGGAAGACTATAAATCAAATTGTTACAAGTAATTAACTCCAAGGAGCTTAATTACAAAGAACTTTAACTTCTAAATTAACGTGGCAGTATATTTAAATTTTTAGCAAGTATTATTTCAATTATTTTTGTAATTAGAATAAAAAATCCTTCTAAACGCAAGAATTTCACTAAATTGACCCGTAGGTACCAAATAAAAAGCTAGTAAAAATGTTCATCAAAATGCTAGATGGTGTCATCAGCAAGAAGGTGCCATCAGCATTGCTGCATCCCCTTCTCCCAGTTGCTGGGCCTGACATGGCCCTGGACAGGATTCAGCATGGTCAATTCCCCACCACCCCCCCAAATTTTTTTCTATTAATAAAAATTTGATATATAGAAAAGTTGAAAGGTTCATATTTGTTGTGTTGTGAAGTGCCGTCCAGTCAGTTTTGACCCATAGTGACCCTGTGTAGGGTTTCTGAGGAGCAGCTGGTAAGCTTGAACTGCCGACCTTGCAGTTCAAATGGCTTTGCATTCTGGCACATTAACCCACAGCACCACACCAGGACTCCTATAGTGATTGACTATATACTCATTAACATTTCCTCCTATTTGACTTGTCTCTAAATTTCCTCCTGTGTGTTATTGCTGTTGTTATTTTGGCTGAGTCATTATAAAGTAAGTTGCAGATACTACTCTACTTCATACCTAAGTATTTTAGCATGTATTTTTTAAGATTAAAGACATTTTCCTGGAGTTCTGGTGTGGTGCTCTAGGATAAGCAAAAACTATAAGGTTGATGGATTAAACCCTATACAGGGCTAGTATGACTTGGAACCAACTCAACAACACTTAACAACAAGCAAAGTTCTAAAGTTGGGAGCCAATGAATAGTAAACCTGATTGGCTGAAAGTTAGACTGTCCTTGGGCACCACAGTCTTCCTGTGGGTCTATCTCATTAAATGCTACGAAGATGTTTTACAGTATAAAGGAAGACGTGAGTTGGAATGAACTACTGACACATTAACACGTTTCAAATAATGATTATATCAATCAATACCTCCAGATTCATCCATCTTTTCACAGTGAATGTTAGAGAAAAAGTTAAATATGAATATATATTGTCAGCATTTGTGTGTTGCATCATTAAAAGAAAAAGTTAAAATGTTTCTGTGTTTTTAATAATGCTAGATATAGTTAAAAATATTAGTTATAAAAACTTTGGTCAACAATCAACAGTTCTCGTTACAGTGAGATGCTCACTGAAGATCTGAAACCTAAACTTGGGGTTCATTAAACACAGAAGACTGCTATCCAAGGGCTTTGTGATCTTGCATGACAAGGCAAATCCACACACCTCTGCCCACACTCTTATCACTCTGCAAAACTTCGTTTTCAGGTGTTAAAGTATCATCACTATAGTCCCGATCTTGTTCCATAAGACTTTCACCTGTTTGGTTCCCTGAAAGCAGCCCTTCAAGGATGAAGATTCACCTCTGATGAAGAAGTAAAGACAGTGGTGCATTGGTAGCTTGCAGCTCAGCTTAAAACATTTTTAATAAGGGACTATGAAAACTTGTTGACAGATGGACAAAGTATATTGAAAAGCAAGGAGATTATGTTGAAAATGATGTGTATGTGTCTTTTAAAAGTTGATTAAAATAGATTCTATAACTGAGGAAATATAAATATGGACTGCAACATGATACTGGAGAATCATTGATTTTCTTAGGTTTATCACAGTATTCTGGGTATCTAGGAAAATGTCTTTGCTGTTGTTGCTTGTTGTTAGGCGCTGTCGAGTTGGTTCCAAGTCATACTTGCCCTGTATAGGGTTTCCAAGAGGCAGTTGGTGGTTTAATCCATCAACCTTATAGTTTTTGCTTATCCTAGAGCACCACACCAGAACTCCAGGAAAATGTCTTTAATCTTAAAAAATACATGCTAAAATACTTAGGTATGAAGTAGAGTAGTATCTGCAACTTACTTTATAATGACTCAGCCAAAATAACAACAGCAATAACACACAGGAGGAAATTTAGAGACAAGTCAAATAGGAGGAAATGTTAATGAGTATATAGTCAATCACTATAGGAGTCCTGGTGTGGTGCTGTGGGTTAATGTGCCAGAATGCAAAGCCATTTGAACTGCAAGGTCGGCAGTTCAAGCTTACCAGCTGCTCCTCAGAAACCCTACACAGGGTCACTATGGGTCAAAACTGACTGGACGGCACTTCACAACACAACAAATATGAACCTTTCAACTTTTCTATATATCAAATTTTATTAATAGGAAAAAAACTGGGGGTGGGGGTGGGGAATGCTACCTTGGGGTCACCATGAAATAAAAATCTCACTCTCAATGAATCTGAAAACTGGGATATACACTGGATATAATTTGCTGGGTCTCTTCACACTCCTTGCCCAACCGATTTTTTACCACCAATTTAAAAACCACAGAAAAATCATAAAAGAGGAAAAATAGAAAATTAAACAGAAAAAAAACCTTAGACTTTTACAATTATCAGTCTTCTCCCATATCTACTGTGCATTTCTCAAATGGGTATTGACACTTTGAAGTGTTAAGGTACACAGTCCCTCTGAATCTCACCTTTTCCTTACTGTGCTTTTATATAAGTCCTCTAATTCTCACCATAAATGATGCTTTCAGTTCTTGTCCTCAAAAGGGAATTCCCTGAAACATGCCAATCCCCCCACTTCCCACACATAAGAGTTTTTGCATCTATTTACCCAGCTCTGCTAAGGAGACTTGCTAGTTTTTGTAGAGACCAATTCTTTTTCCCCGTTCTATTTTTGCGCACTCCCCCTCCAGTTCCAGGTTTTCCCAACACCACCTAACTGCCATCTGGCAGTGAGAATTCACTGTTTTCCAGCAAACGGGATCATCACCCTACACAGGAGGTCCCAATAGTTCATTTTGTCAAAGCTTTAAAGCATTAACACCACTCTTTGATTCTAGCTAAACAACTGCCCACTATACCTCCTGCTAACTGAGTCCCCAAAGTAGTATGACTTACCTTTGGTGTCCTGCATGACAATTGAGCTATACTTTAAGAAGGTTATCAGTAGATTACTAGTCTGTACATCTGCATCCAGTGGGAGTTCCACAGAACTTATAACTGGAATAAAACAGATGAAATACACTTAGCCTATAACATATTCCATCTAACACTTCTACCCACATAGCCAATTTGCCAGCAGGCAAGAAAATCACTAAATAAGCTTTTCCACAATGGAGGGAGGATCAACTGCCTATCATAAAGCCTTTATCTACTTCTAGGCCTCTAAAATCCTTCCTACTCCCCATATTAAACCCAACAACTTTCTTTCCTATCAAAGAAGACCAATCTCCAGGAACAGTGCTTTACTCCTAGCATCCTAGGAAGAGCATGCTGATTTTATTTCCAGACCCTCCCTAACCTAGAAAGTTCAGGGCCCTTCTTAAAAGCACTGTGAATTGCACTTAAAGAAATGTTTATTAAATATAAAACACCTTGTTTTAATGAGACTTCAGACTCAAACAAATGAAGATTTCTGCTTAACAGAGAAAACTTGCTCACTTCACAAAAGAAGTCTCTAGGTTAAAATAACCCAAGTTGAGTAGAACAAAGGTTGTTGTTATTAAGTGCCGTTGAGTCGGTTCCGACCCATAGCGACCCTGTACAGGGTTTCCGAGGTAGAACACATTAAAATTCTACACCTTAATGCTTACTCTTGAAGAGAATCTGAAAAGGAATACCAGACCGAAATGAGTGGACAGTATTGAACTGGGAGAGTTTTATATACTTAGCTGTTATTTCTAAGAAAACCCACTCCCCCAAACCCACGTCACAGTCCCAGTGAACAATACCTCCTGCTAACAATGAGGGATAAGACCAGAGCTGATCCACAAGAGAATATAGTCTGAATATAGAGTTCCCAAGAGTTAAGGCTTTGCACTTAAGACATCTTAAGTGATTTTACACCAAGACATAATACATAAGCAAAAACAAGTTCATGATGATCCAAACAGAGAATCTATAGTGTCCTGCTGTATTTTCACCTCTGAAGAGACAGCTGAGATTGAAACATTACTCATAATATATATTCATAACAATAATGAATCCCTCCAGACTTATTACAATATATGCAGAAAACAATTATTAACAATAAGAAACATCTGTATATTATGGATCCATAATGTGGCACTGTAGGTTAATGCGCTGAACTGCAAGGTCGGTTTGAACTACAAGGTCAGTGGTTCAAGCTCACCAGCCATTCCTCAGAAACCCTATATAGGGTCACTATGAGTTGGAACTGACTGGAAGGAACTTAAACAATTAAAGCACAGCAAAAAGTCTTATGAGAAGTTAGCCTGCTCAACTCATAGCTGTTTCTCAAAGTTTAACCACCAAGAATTATAAAAATACAAATATATATTTTGAAATACTAAAAGACCCTAATTCATGTTATGGGTTAATGGTCTGAGGCTGTCATTTCAAACCACAACCCTATTTAAAGCTCAAAGTCCATAATCATGCCACTGTCCAATCTAAAGAGACATCTAGTTGGTTAGTGGGACTTTTTTCTCTTTCAAAGACAGCAGTAACTTGAAAACTGTCTTATATAATAGGTATAAATATAAAAGTCCATGTATTTTTAGTTTACCATAAGGTCCTCTCATGCCAAGGCTGAGTTGTCAAATGTCGAGTCTGAGCTGAGAACAAATATTACAGCTAAACTGCTTGCTTTTACCAATAATGGCTCCAGTGACCGCCTTTATGGGTTATGCACATCACTAAGCAGAGTTGTTGGTTAATGTGCCAGATAGCAAAGCCGTTTGAACTGCAAAGTCGGTAGTTCAAGCTCACCAGCTGCTCCTCAGAAATCCTACACAAGGTTGCTATGGGTTGGAACCAACTCGATGGCACTAACAACAACATAATTAAAAAACAAGGTTGCAGTATTTAGGACCTCTACAGAAAAATGAGTTCAGAGATGAGGGAAAAAAGAACAGAATAAAACCCTTCACAAATTAAAATATCATTCTTAATCTTTGACTTCCTAATCCTTCCTAGCATTCTTTGTTAAGGAAAGATCATTTGAAAGTGGGCTGACTCCATCTTCCCACTAGAAAAAAAATAAAAGCTCACTGGTTGTAGGTAAGTAAGCACAAACCCTGCCATTGCATAATCAAGTGTGTGGGTGGAAGTGTTCACAATGAACAGTTTGAAAGGCAGTTCTCTGAAGCATCCAAACCCCAACATCACATGGAACTCAGAACTATATATATGGCTTTTGATATCCATGGTAACCAGGCAGGTTTCATCCTTAAAGAGAAAGAACAGTCTTTCCATTGGATTATTCAGTGACCTGAATCAGCAGAGATAAGTAGGCAATCTTCACTATTTGCTCCTTCTCATTAAGTTATTTTGGAATTTGGCTTTCAATTCTAAGCAGATCTAGCTTGGTACCACAGACCTTACTATCAATGGCACCTCTCTGCCATGGGTCTGAACTAATATTGCTTGTTCTGCCACAGGTACTATATGAAAATTTAAAGGCGAGAAAGCAGAACAAAGAAGATGATTTCACATACAAACAGTCGGGAGGTACAAAGAAAGAATCAAAGTTAGATTTCCTGTACTTCTTTACCCAAAATGAGGTCAACGTTTTAGGTACTACATGTGGTATTTCTAGGTCCAGGTATTCCACCAAACACACTCAGCTTACAGGAACAGTACCTCAGGTAACAAAACATGCATTGGAGAAGAGTATTAATTTCTTTTCTTTTACCTTTTTCTTAAGTTCTAGGCATAAAATGTATAAGGGAGTAATAGTTTTTGCTATTTTTTAGAGAGGGTTGGGGGGGTTTTAAATAATCACCAAACTCCTAATTATAATACAACTTAAAGTCTGTTCATTCCAACTGGGAGAGACCAGCAGATATGTAATAGTGAGTGAATCTAACCACCACTTTCTCACTCATATACTAAACAAATATACTCTAAGTATTACTGTGTCAAGAACTATGCTGGTCATGTTATTGTTAAATGCTGTCGAATCAGTTCCAACTTATACTGACCCTATATAGAGTTTCCAAGGAGTAGCTCGTGAGTTTGAATCCCAATCTTATGATTCAAACCAACCTACAGTCAAGTGCTTATCCTATAGCCCAGGACTCCATGCTGGGCATGTAGCAGAGAACATAATAGACATAGTTCCTGCCCTGATGCATGTCTTAGGTCTTAGTCTCAACTCTCACTAACCTTAGGCAAAAGATTCCACTTCTCTGGCTTCAATTCTTTCATTTGTAAAGTAATGATATAAGATAACATTGGATTTTACTTTTATTTCAGTGCTTTATGGTCAGAAGGAGACATTTTTCATAAAATATCTCATTAGAGCCTCACAAGTACCCTGACAGTTTCACAAGCTAGGCATTACTAAGGTCTCTTCAGATCTAGCACTCCATGACTCTATAAACATTGTTTGAGTAGGACAAGCAAGAGTTATATAGGTTTTTCACAGAGAAAAGCACTTGGCTATCTTTTTCAAAGTTTTCTTCAGAACTTCAGGAGTCCTGAAAGACAATACTTCAGACAAAATTATTTGTTCTACAAAGCTATACTAACCCTGAAAGACATATTAATCAAGAAAACAAAATGGATGGTGGCTCACCATCAGAGGAGGGTGGTGTGGTCCCAAGAGGTGTGGCTGGGGTTGTTGGAGCAGGACTGACAGGGGTCGTCACCAAGCCTATTTCTGGATGACTCTGAAAAGAAACATATGAAAATAGAAAATTCAGTTCTCCCTGAGTATCCTCTGCTTAATATCCTTGCTGTTCTTCCTGATCTCATAATTAAACAGAAAGCTCACTGAGGAAGGACGACTACTTCCAAATTTATTTAGTTCCCACGAGTACCTGATTACTGTTGATGCTTGCTAGATTCTAATAAGAAGCTCTATGGGATAGTTTTCTCTAAATAACTAGGTTCCCATTACATAAGTTTTTCTGCAGAGCTATATAAATAAAAAATTGGGGTAAACAAATATTCAGGATTACTCTACAAGAAGCAGGGCACTAGCACTCCTAACTGGACTTAAGAAAGGACCACTTTCATCAGAATAACTTAAAACATACACCTATATGCATTTTTGATGCTTATATAATCGGCTAAAGAGCTTAAAAAAAAAAAAGAAAGAAAGAAAGAAAAAACAGCTATGCATTTTTCCTATTCCCAACAAACAAGAGTGTGCGGGGTGGGAAGGCAGCAGAGATATATGGGAGACACCCCACGGGGACCAAAACAGATTGCATGTCTGTCCTGCTAAGCCATCCCTGCCCACATCAACTACTGAGAATTAAGCTGAGTGACAGCTGCTTTTGTATCCCTTCTCCCCTCCAACATCTTTACCAGCGCTTTACCTTCCTCACTCTTTCCTTTAAAATCAGTTACAGACTTTGGAAAGCAGACAAAAAATGTGGTGAAAATAGTAGAAACAGTCTTTCATTTTATCATTCATCAAATAGTAGATACAGTCTTTCATTTTATCATTCATCAAAAAGAATGATGTGTCCTCTTAAGCAGATACCAAACCAGCACACATTTTTAAGTGCGACCTTATTTTTTCAAGGTAAAACTCAATGAATTTTCTGCTCCTGCAAAGATTTACAGCCTCGGAAACCCTATATAGGATTGCTATGATTCAGAACCAACTGGAAAGCACTTAAGAACAATAACAACACTACACAGCTGTCCTTTGAGAAGAGAGGGGAGTGGTAAAAAAAACTTTCTTTTAAAAGAACCCTACATACATATTTCAAACAGTCTGGCTTTAAGATAAAATCACTTGATCAATTTTTTAACACAGCTTTCATGGATAGCACTTGCGTCCTAGTCTATTTTAGTCCCTTCTGTGCCAGCTACTGAGGATATCCCTTAGGCTTGTGACCTAGCACTTAGTAGTTTATGATTTCCTGCTTTCAATGTTTGCAGACCATTTTATCTGCTAACAGCTAACCTTATGCTGGGCAGGATAATTTTACTCTTCTCTGGAAACTAGTAAGATAAGAATGGACTTGGTCTACTCTATCCCCAGCTGTAATTCCACAGTGATTTAGAAAGCAGGAACTTAATATAAAATCCTTACTGGCAGATTAGACCAGAGAATTTCCAGTAAGCAAAATGAAATCTCAACTTGTTTAGGTTAACCAAACTAGTAAATTGGTCAAAACCTTAACTTTGAATGCTATCAAGACCACTTCAGCACTAGAAAGAAATACAGATATTCAGGGGCAGCATGAAACTAAGGCAACTGCTACAACTCCATGTAATGAGCACTTCCCATTGCAAAACAGAGTGGAAACAGCCAGGTAGGCTTTTTCACTGAAGGAATTTGTATAGAATGCACAGAGGAAAAGAGAATTGGGGTTTCTAATGTAACTGACCTGGGCTAACACTGTGATGAAATTGCGATTTAAATGAACAGCTTCATAAAGTGCCAGAAGAATGGCCTCATTGGTTCTAAAAAAGAAGAAAACCAATTTTGTGAGTCTCTTATATTATAGAAGAGTTTAAAAAGCAAAAACATCAAAATAAGATTTCACCCTAGCTCTGCTTTATAAATCCCTTTAAGTTTCTAACGGTCTCCTTTATTTCCTCTTGGGAATATGTGAAAGGTGAGGAGAATAGGCTTTAACTTCCATTTCTCAGGATTACTTTTATCTGTTTCATTTACTCCCACTCCCATTTCCAGTCCAGTCCATTTAATTCTTTAACTGGCTCAGCTACCCAGACCTCTCCCATTTCATTCCAGAATAGCTCAAGACAGCATCTCAATTTCTTGGGGCCCAGCAGATGTGAGATTAAGACAGACATTTCTAGAATTCATTATTGTTTAAATCTGAGAATCATTTGCTAAATCACCAAAACAGTTAAGACTCTGTTAAGGTTTAGCAAAAGTAGCATTTCATACACTGTGCTCTAGCTGGAGAGCCCACACTAATGTTCAAGTCACTGCACAAGAATATCAGGCACTTACTGTACAGATATTTTCTCATGGGCATCTGCTATGAACATGCTGCCCACCTGTGGATGAAAAGAGGAAATGCAGACTTATAACGGAGTGATGAGCACAGCTCTGTGCCCATCAAGCCTCTGAATCAGTCAAAAAACAAGGGACTTTCAGCAAGAGGGAAACTGGAACTTTGGACCACTAGTGACACACCACAAAACCATCATGCTTCTAAAAGATCGTGAAGGAATCATAAATAATAAAAAGAAATGATGAAAACCCTGCTAACCTCTCTTAAAAGGGCTTTAAAAAATGCTTTTGAAAATCCTAGCCCTCAATGTCAGTGTATAATTGTCACCACTGTCAGAGAGCGAAATGTTAGCCTCAACATTCCCATCACTATACATCTTTCCTTCAGGCTACTTATTTGAAATCAGAAATTAACTCATGAAGAACATCATAGAAATACAGCTGACTTCATCCTATACAAGCCTGTTCTCAGAGAAATATTTGGGTTTCAGACCAGAGCTGTCTAAGCTAGACCCATTCTCCATCTTTATCTGATCAGAAAGATTTTAGTTTGTATACTATTCAGAGTAGCTGAATAGGTCAACGGAGCAGGCTGTCTAACATTATGATGCCAGAAGCACTGAGAAAGATGCCCCCTTATAAAAATGCCTTTTCCACCTGCTTGCTTAAGCCCAAAACTCTGCACCTGGAACTTCATTTGTTTGAAACAAAGCTTTTTATTCTTGGCCAAAAGGCCAAGATCCCTGGGAGCAACGAAATTATCTCTAATTCATTTCATCAAATACACTACAGCATCCATACAATCCTAGCATTTGTGAGAGATCTTACTCACTTATGCTTCAAAATTACGGAGTTCACCAGATCCTTTCCTGAGAGCAGAGTGTGTGAAGAGAGAAGGAGAGAATGCAGAAGCAACGAGCTAAAACCTGGTCCTCGGGCTTATTACTTAGATTCTAATGTCCAAGAGGAGTCCTAGTGTGGTGCTGGGGGATAACCACTGAATGTTAAGGTCGGTTTCAACAGAAGGTCGGCAGTTCAAACCCACCAGTCGCTCCTTGGAAGCCCTACACAGGGTTGCTATAAGTCAGAACTGACTCGACAGACACTGAACAACAACAACAAGGTCCAAGAAGACAGATTTATTGACTATGCCCACATCTGAAAACCTTTATAAGGACAAACTCTAAGATTTCTTTAAAATTATTTCCAAATTGTTGTTGTTAAGTGTCATCAAATAGATTCCAACTCACAGCAACCCTGTTTATGGTTTCTAAGGAGCAGCTGGTGGGTTTGAACTTCAGACTTTGTGGTTAGCTACATATTAAGGAGCTCTGGTAGCGTAGTAGTTACGAATCAGGCTGTGAACCGCAAGGTCAGCAATTCGAAACTACCAGCGGTTCTGTGGGAGAAAGATGAGGCGTTCTGCTCCCGTAAAAATGTACAGCCTCAGAAACCCTGTGCAGGGTCACTATGAGTTGGAACCGACTCCACAGCACTTAACAACAACAACAACATATTATTTGCCCAAATTGCCAATATTACCAAGGTTGAGAAGTCTGTCTGGAGTCTTACAAACAGAAACAAAAAACGTTCTTAAATCCTTGACCTTTTTAGAGAAGTGGATCAAATTCACTGCACCAATCCCAACTCCAGGGCGATCTATGAGGAATCAAGTGGACAAGCAGACAGCAGAGGAACACTCAGTGGGGACAACGAGTCAGTACCAATTCATAGCGACCCTATGTAAAAGAGAACAAACCACGGACGGGTTCCTGGGCCAACCTCACAATTGTTGCAACAACTTAGTTCACTGATGCTGCCACTGTGCCAATCCCTCTCATTTTGGGGTCTTCCTCTCTTTACCAAACATGATGTCCTTTTCCAGGGACTGGACCCTCCTGATAATATGTCCAAAATATGAGATACAAAGTCTGGCCATCCTCGCCTCCAAGGAGCATTCTGGCTGCACTTCCTCAAACACTTTTGGCAGTCCATGGTAGTTTTAATATTCTCCCCCAAAACCATAAATCAAATGCATCAATTCTCCTATAGTCTTCCTTATTCACTGTCCAACTTTCGCATGCATATGAGGTTATTGAAAATATCATGGCACACCTTAGTCCTCAAACTGAGATCTTTGCTCTTTTACACTTTAAACAGGTCATATACAGCAGATTTGCCCAATGCAATAGGTTGTTTGATTTCTTGACTGCTGCTTCCATGAGTGTTGATTGATCTGAGCAAAATGAAGTCTTTGACAACTTCAATCTTTATATGGATGTTGTTTATTGGTTCAGCAGTGAGGATTTTTGTTTTCTTTACATTAAGATGCAACCCATACTGAAGGCTGTGGTCTTGATCTTCATCAGTATTTTAAGTTCTCTTTGCTTTCAGCAAGCAAGAGCAAGGCTGCATCAACTGCTTATCAAAGATTGTTAATGAGTCTTCTGCCAATCCTGATGCCATCTTTTTTCTTCATATAATACAGTTTCTCAAATTTTTCACAGCATACAAATTGAGTAAATATGGTGAAAGAATACAACCCTGGTGCACACCTTTCCTAATTTTAAACCATTCAGTGTCCCCTTGTTCTCTTCGAACAACTGCCTCTTGGTCTATGTAGGTTCTCCATGAGCACAATTAAGTGTTCTGGAATACTCATTCTTTACAATGTGGTCCATAGCTTGTCAATATCCACACAACTGAAAACCTTTGCATAGTCAATAAAGCACAGGTAAACATCTTCCTGGTATTTTCTTTCAGCCAAGATCCATCCAATGTCAGCAATGAGTCCCACACCCTCTTCTAAATTCAGCTTAAACCTCTGGAAGTTCTGTGTCAATGTATGGTTGCAGCTGTTTTTGTGCCATCTTTAGTAAAACTTTACTCCCATGGGCTATTAATGATATTGTCTGATGACTTCCACCTTCTGTTGTGTCACCTCTCTTTGGAATGGGAACAAATAGGGATCTCATCCAGTCAGGTGGCCAGGTAGTTGTCTTCCAAATTTCTTGGTATAGATGAGTGACTGCCTCCTGTACTGCATCAGTTTGCCAAAAGATTTCAATTTGTATTCCATCTATCCCCAGTATCTTGTTCTTTGCCAATGTCTTCAATACACCTTGGCCTTCTTCCTTCAGGTTCTTGATCATATGCTACCTCTCGAAATGGTTGAACAGCAACCATTTCTTTCTGGTACAGTAACTCTGTGTATTCCTTCCATCTTCTTTTGATGCTTTCTGCATCATTCAATATTTTGTCTCCACAGAATCCTTACAAACCGCAAATCAAGGCTTGAATTTTTTCCTCATTTCCGTCAGCTTGAGAAATGCTGAGTGTATTCTTCCCTTTTGGTTTTCTAACTCCAGATCTTCGCACATTTCATTTAATATTTGACTTTGTCTTCTCTGGCTGACCTTTGAAATTTTCTGTTCAGCTCTTGTACCTCACTTCTTCCATTTGCTTTAGCATCTATACGCTGGAAACCACGTTTTAGAGTCTCTTTTAACATCTATTTTGGTCTTTTCCTTCTTTCTTGCTTCTAAATGATCTTTTGCTTTCTTCCTATATGATGTTCTTGATGTCATCTCACAACTTTAGTGTCTAATGTATCAAGTTTGTTCTTCAGATGATCTCTAAATTCAGGTGGGATATATTCAAGTTCATATTTTGGTTCTCATGGACTTGTTTTCATTTTCTCCTGCTTTAGCCTAAATTTGCATATGAGCAATTGATAGTCTGTTCCACAGTCTGCCCCTGGTCTTGTTTTGGCTGATGATATGGATGGAGATTTTCCACCATCTCTTTTCACAGATGTAGTCAATTTGATTTCTGGGTATTCCATCTGGTAAGGCCCATGTGTATAGTCATGTTTTATGTTATTTAAAAGATACTTGCAATGAAGAAATCATTGGTTTTGCAGAATTCTACCATGCGATCTCCAGCATCATTTCCATTAACAAGGTCACATTTTACTACTGATACTTCCTCTTTGGTAGCGTAGTGGTTACGAATCGGGCTGCGAACCTTAAGGTCAGAGGTTCGAAACTACCAGCCGCTCCGCGGGAGAAAGATGAGGCCTTCTACTCCCGTAAAGATTTACACCCTCGGAAACCCTGTACAGGGTCGCTATGGGTCGGAACCGACTCAATGGCACTTAACAACAACAACAACAACTTCCTCTTTGTTTCCAACCTTTGCATTACAATCGCCAGTAATTATCAATAGATCCTGATTGCATGTCTGATCAATTTCAGACTGAAGAAGTTGGTTTGTTGTTGTTAGGTGCCATCGAGTTGGTACCGACTCATAGTGAACCTATGCACAACAGAACGAAACACTGCCTGATCCTGAGCCAACCTCCCAATTGTTGCCACACTTGAGCCCACTGACGCTGCCACTTTGCCAATCCATCCCCCTGGGGCTCCTCCTCTTTTTCTTTGACCTGCACCTTACCAAGCATGATATCCTTCTCCAGTGACTGGTCCCTCCTGACAACATGTCTAAAGGATGAGAGACGAAGTTTGTCCATCCTAGCCTCCAAGGAGTACTGTGGCTGTACTTCTTCCAACACAGAAGTTGGTAGAATTTCATAATCACTGGCTTTAGTGGTTGGTGCATAAATTTGAGTAATAGTGGTATTAACTGGCCTACCTTGTATGTGTATGGATATTATCCTCTCACAGACAATGTTGTACTTCATGACAGATTTTGATATTTTCATTTTGATGATGAATGTGATGCCTTTCCTTTTCAATTTGTCATTCCCAGCAAAGTAAACCATGTGATTGTTAGATTCAAAATGGCCAATACCAGGCCATTTCAGCTCACTAACAATTAGTATATCAATATTCATGCATTCCATTTCATTTTTTACAATTTCCTATTTTCCTAGATTCATACTTCATACACTCCATGTTCTGATTAATGGACATTTATAGCTGTTTCTCTTCATTTTGATTTGTGTCCCTCAGCAAATGAAGGTCCCAAGGGATTTACTCCATTCGTATCATCACGGTCAATTCTACTTTGAGGAGGCAGCTCTACCCTAGTTGCATTTTGAGTGCCTTCCAACTTGAGGGACTCATCTTCCAGCACTGTATCTGAAAATATTCTGGTGTTCCTCATCATGTTTCAATATTTAATATTGTGGTGCTGACAGTGTTCCACTGCTATTAGACTAAATATTCAGAAGTATAGTCCATCTCTCCCTCTTCCTAGTCTGTCTTCATCTGGAAGCTCATCTGAAATCCGACCAATGTGAGTGAACCTGCTGGTATTTAAAATACCCATGGCATAGCTTCCAGAATCACAGCAAACACAATCCACCACAGTATGACAAACTGACAGACAAGTGGTGGGAGCTGGCACTAAACCACCCTATTCTGTGTTCCACAGGGTCAGTCTTCAAACACGGTCAACTCCTTAGGAAGCAAAAGTCTGACTTAAATTGTACTTTCTCCCCAAGTAAATTAAATTTTAAAAATCAGTCCTACAGTTTGGTTGGTTGATGATGCATGGAGGGGATTGTAACCATAGCAATGAAATGATATACGACAGGATGAATGTAAAATTAATGTTCTCCCATGTAAACAATCACATAATTCACAATAAAACATTAAAAAAAAAAAAGTCCCAGAGAAATCAAAGTTCTCCTTTCCCTTATCTATCTCACTTAAGTTTTGGAAATCACTAATGAAGAGATGGCTCTCAAAAAATCTGTCCTGAGCAACCTTTCTCCTCATCACACCATCTCCTCAAACATCTAAACTTCTACGCAGAGATTTGTCTACCCTTTCAGACCCCATATATTTCCAAGCAGGAGTAAAAACTAAGTAGACTTACCATGTTTGTTAAAGCAGAGAAAAAACCGCTCTGGTGTTCTTCTTCCTTGTCTTTATACTGCCTAAACAAAAAGAACTACATTCACCTTTAGTATTATATGTCAAATATATCTTTGTTGTTGGCATTCTAGGTAACCTGGGCAGGGTACTCTTAGAATTCATTGGCTCCAGAAAACAAAAGCATTGTAATAACCTAGTCTCTGAAGGTTCCCCTGTACACTATGAGGCATCCATCTGCTCTTAAGGTAGTATATCAAAATGCCTGGCTACTTTGGGAGACACTTAGAAAGCTAGCTGCAAAAGTGTGAAACTACTCTAACATATGGCTGATCCAGTTATTTCCCAAACAGACTATTACTTGAAAAGTGTTACAGTGCAATTACTTTGAGGCTGTTAACAGTGAAAATCTTGTTTATTTTTAAAGGAGGAGGAGGGAACTCTGTGAGCTAAACTATTTGTGGAGACTGAACAGATTTGAAATTCTAACACCAAATTGTATGTGAGAAAAGTATGGTGAAGAACAAGAGCAATCCTGCCCTGCCCTGGCCAGGATTGAGATACTTCTGGTCCACCTTCACTGAGTATCAATTCCTTTCCCATCCACAGCCAGAGAGGAAAGGCAAGCATCAAGAAAGAGCGACCCCAAAACAAATAAGGATCCTGGGAAATAAAAGTTGATTCCTGATAACAAAGAAGTATCTGTCAAAATAACAAGTTTTCTCCTTGTGTTCTTGTTTTCGTTTATTGAGTCCAAAAAATCAGGGTTTCTGAATCTTCTGCGCATGAAAAATGACATTTATGTTAGATTATGGGTTAAATGAAAAGATCCTACTTACGGTGAGAAAACCAGTAAAAATGCTCTAAGTAAAGGTTGCAAAAAAGTATGCCCAATTGCATAAACAAAAGATGGACACAAACCCGGTGGCTGCTTTTCCCCTGGTGTTAGAAAAACAATCCCTGCTAAAGCCAGTAAGCCAAGCTAGAAAAAATACTACTGTCAGCAGCTATACTTCTGAATATTCTTCTAGGCTCTACATGGGAAGTTGGTCCAAGAACTCTAACAAAACTGTTTACAGTCAAACAATTCAAATGAAACTTTGGCTGTTCCCTTCTAAAAAGGTGGACTTACCTGTTATACTCAGATAAAGCCTGGGCAATCACAAGCCCCATTCCCTAGGGAAAAAAAAAGACAGCACAGGTGAAATGAGTAGGTAGTTTTGCAGGGAGGGAAGATGCTATGACTAGGCCAAGGAAAGAACAAAGTACACCTCTCCCCTCCCCCATGGTCCAAGCTCAAGAAGTTTTGCCTGGAAGCTGACAAGAACTGAAATTCTGAGAAACAGAAAATTATACCAAAGAATAAAAAGAACTTCTGAGGAAAGGCTTTTCTGATACAATTATCTTAATTAATGTTCCCAGATATAATTTAAACAGACCAGCCCAGATGACTAACAGTTTGTTTCACTGGGATAATTTTCACCTCAAAAGAGAAGTTAGAAGAACAAACAAGATGGCGAATCAGGTGGAAGTGTAGTGAAAAGCTCTGTCAGCAACAACACAGAATACCAGACCAAGAAGACTCAGGGGATGGTGCCAGAACTCCGAAGTACATATAAAGGAATATTTAGAAGGTTGCAAGGCTTAAAGCTAGGAGAATTTGTAGCAGAAGCAAGAAATCCATTGCTTTCTAATTCAAGACGCTCCCAGAGCTGCCATCTTGGGAGAAACCAAGTGGGGAAGGAGAAGAGCAGCCACAGACACCTGACAGAACCACAGAGATAAAGGTGTGGCCATTCTTTTTTTTTTTGTTATCTGTTCATTAGTCGCTCGCTGTATGTGCACCTCCATTCTGATGACTAGAGGGGGTGCCTGAGCGAGTGGACACCCCACGCCCACCCCCAGAAGGTTCTATTATGCATGTACACAGATCTCCTCAAAATTTAAAGAGACAGTTTCCACTTAAAACCAAATGGCCACAACTGGCCCTGAACTGTTTTTAACTAGAAAAAAGGCCTGACCGGGGATTGTGGAGAGGGACAGAAAGACTAAAAAGGAAATAGGCTGAAAATTAAATCCTGAGTTACATCACAATGACCAACAGTGGCATCTTGAAATTTCTTAGGAAGAAGAGTGAAAAGGAAAGCCCATCTCTTGATCACATCTACCTGGAGGCAATAAGAAAGCATAAAAAATACCAAAATACACACCCATCTAAGTATTAAGGCCACACATAACTCCTGAATATGCCCAAAAAACAGAAACAGATGACCATATCAGCACATGTCCAGAAACAAGATAAAGTGACTGAGACAAATGAGCTGGAAGTAGACCTACACTCCATACTGGAAGATGGGCAGGCTTTGGAAATGCCTGAGAAGGAATTCAGAAACATGATTATAAAATGTATCAGAACACTATACAATGGAGTTGAGATAGAAGCCAGACCTAGTGAGCTAGAAGGTAAATCTCTCAACACTACTAAGATAGAAGAACAATGACAAAAAGGGATAACAAAATCTGAAGAAGGCCTAAGATTCATGTTGGACAACATGAAGAGGAATACCTTAAGAATTATCAGCATTGTGGAACAGGAAGAATCACACAAGTTCACAGAGGAGATCACTGAAGAGTGTCTGGAAGAAAATTTCTCTAACATCCTGAAAAGTGAAAAGATAAGTACTCAAGAAGCTCAACAAACCCCAGGATGGATAGACCCTAAAAAACAATCATCAAGACATATAATCATCAAGCTCTCCAAAATCAAAGATAAGGAGAGAATCCTGAAATCAACTAGGGAAAAGAGAAGTGTAACATACAAAGGCAAGCAAATCAGATTAAGCTCGGATTTCTCAACAGAAACCATGCAGGCAAGAAGGCAATGGGAAGACATATATAAAACCCTGAAAGAAAAAAAAACTGCCACCCAAGAGTCCTCTATCCAGCAAAGCTGTCAATCAAATACAAGGGTATAATCAAAACATTCCAGGATAAACAGAAGCTAAGGGATTTTGCCAAAGCCAACCCTGCTATAAAAAACATCCTAAAGGAAGTTCTGCGGACTGAGAACCAACAAGAACAGACAACAACCAGAGAATGACATATGTGGCAGCATCACCCAAACTCAATCGACAAATGAAGAGTCAAAAATAGAATAAAATTATAAGAACAGAGAATCTGGGAAGTCAGTCTATGATCAAAACAATTACAATGTGAAAAAAGGTAAACACAGAGGAACAGAGATCCAGGTGGTGGGAAGATCAGGTAGATTACAGGATAAAACAGACTGTCTTAAATGGACGGAAACGTTAATGGAATATAAATTAACCACAACAATGGGGTTGGGGTGGGGGATTTATTTCAGGTGTTGGGGAGGGCAATACAAGAAGGAGGAGGAGGCAGAAGAACAAGATAGATAGGGAAACACTGAGACAGATTTGCATGGCCTAAGTGGGGCAGAGATATCAAATAATGATGCATGCTCAACCTTGGAACAACAGGGCTCTGGGATACAGGGATCTAGTATAGCTTGAAGAGGAGAAATAATACTAAAATGCTTGACTGTCTTATGAATATTAGTTTCCCTTGCCGACTATTGTAAAATAGACACTTGATTGGGATAGAAAGGAATGTTGGGAAACATGATTAGAGAAAACCTGTAAGCCCATCTTCAGCCTATAACTGATTGGAATACCCAAAAGGGGTTCTAGAACTTGCCCAGTGAAACAGGCCTAATGCAAAGCCTTTACAGAGTATAAGACCTTAGGTGGAATCCTGAGTCCCATCCACAAACTTACGAGGTAGAACATTCCCACTAACAAAGGCAAGCAGACCAGCCTGGAACAGCTACAGTGACAGAAGATACAGCTTCCAAGAAAAGTCATCAGGAAAAACCCAAAACAAAAATGCCAGCATGACTGGCCACTATAAGAATAAGCAAGCTGTTCGCCAGGAAGATATCAAGGCTAGCAATCAAGTTCCTTCAGGACACACTCCCCTCTAAGACTGAAACTCAAAGGGAACACACACACAAGGCATGTTAGCTTGGTGGTGACCACATTGGTCTACTAGTGAATGGAAGCGGGGGAAAGGCAGCAATGAAGAAATGGGCTGATTTCAACCACAGTCCATTGACTCCCATTGACCTCGAGATGAGAAACATAAGAGGAAGGGCTGGTTGGTCCAAAGTGTGGTGAGACCTGAGGACACTTGAGCCCA